CTTCTCCTCCCTCCAAACGATCACCTAGGCCAGCAGTCCTCAGCATCCCCGTCCCCCCACCCCGCCTTCCCTGCGGCCGGCCGGCGCCCCTCGCAACCCTCCGCCCAGCCTTCCCCAACGAACGACCCCGCGGCGCCCCGCTTCCCTCCATCCCACAGCGCTCCCACGGCTAACTGCCCCCACACCTCCTCCGCAGACGACCTTCCGGAGAGGCTCCCAGCACCGACCCGCGAAGGGCCAGGGAGACGCCGCCGCGGGCGCTACCCTGCGAGGCGGGGAAGGAGGCTTCCCAGCCTTCAAAGTTCGTCTGGACACCGCCCGCAAACTTCTGGGCTGCAGCGTGCACTGCGGGGCCGCCGGAAGCCTCCCGGCAGGCGCCGTGCCCTCCCGGGGTCGGCGAAGTGCTCCGCGCCCAGAGCGCTCGGGGGTCTGCGCGGCGAGAGCGGCCGCGTAGACGCTGCCGGCCCCGCGCCCGCCCGCCCGCCGGGAGGAAAGCCTCCTGAGAGGCAGAAGCCGGCGCCTCAGACTCAAGCCTTTAATGCACTAGTCGGATCTATACACCTGCCAGAAAAAGCTCTAAGTGACCAGGACGGGTAAATCTCCCTGTGGTTCCGATGGGAGTCGAGTGAATTCGGTACCCCAAAAGCACCTCCTAAAAGCCCGTCGCCCCGGATCCGCGAGAACCCGGCACAGCGCTGGCGCGAGGCCGGCGCCACTCTCCTCGACCCTCATCCCGGCTGCGGCCCCTCGGTGCCCTCACGGCGCCCTTTACCTGAACCGGCAGCCCGAGAGCGCGGGCGACAGGAGTCGGGTCGCGACGCTGGCGGCTCCCGAGCCGCGTCCGTGCCCCAGGTCGGCGCCCAAGGGGGGAGCCGCTGTCTAGGGGTCGCAGCCCGGCAACGCCGCAGGCAGCGCACGGGCCATTCTGCCGCCGCAAGCGCACGAAGCCGCGAGGACACAAATCAGCGACCTCGCTGCTAGTCCAGCTAGCTCGCCTGTCACCTCGAGCTCTGCTTTAAAGTGGCTTCCGGTCCCGGCTCCCCGTCCGGGGGGCGGATCCTGGGCGGTGAGGGGCGGGGTCAGCAGAGGGGGCCGGGCCCTCAGTGGGTGTCGGGAAGGACGCCCGTCCGGTGCGCGCGCGCGTGCGCTCTGCCTCCCTGGCTCGGAGGCGCGCGGACAGGGCGGACGGTGTGGTGTGCTCCCGCGAGGGGGCGTGTCCTTCCGCGAGTCGGCTCTGTCGCCGGAGTCCGCGTCCACGCGCTGCGGGGAGCGCGCCTCGGCGAGAAGGAGAAGGTGGCGCTACGTGGGGCGGGCTCCACCTACCTGCGGACAGAAGAAGGGTCACTTTGTTCCAGGATGACCCAGGCGCCCGGAGGAGGATGCGAAACGAGTCGACCCTTTTCGATGCGGGTTCGTTGCTTTATCTGCTGCCTCTCAAGACGTCTCCAGTTCCGAAGGACACCGGGTCCAGCGAGAAGGCCAACGTCTGCGTGGCCACCAGACAGGGCCGCCCGTCCCATGCCAGGCGGGCAGGACCGGCTGCCCGCCCAGGGTCTGATGCCTCCTCTGGTCGTTGGCTTTTGTGTTCCCCAAGAAATGGTCTCGTCTTGTGCAAGTGAAACCTAGCTTTTAAATTCGAAAACAGATGCGGACAGATAGATGCATATTTTAAAGCTTACAAACACTATGGTGGTTTATTCATTCAACAACTATTTGTTGAGCCCTTACTACGTGCCAGACCTATACTAGACCGTGCTCATCCGCAGGGAGCTTGTAGAACACCAATACCAAATAAGCAGCCACAACTCACTGCCATTCTAGTCCATTCTGACTCACAGTGGCCCTATAGTGCAGGGTGGAGCTGCCCCTGTGAGTTTCCGACAGTCACTGTTCATGGGAGTAGAAAGCCTGTCTTTCTCCCGCAGAGCGGCTTGGGGTTTAGAACTGCGGACCTTGTCGACTGCAGCACAACTCAGAACCACTACCACCATCAGGACTCCTCTAAAATGTGCTTCATGCATGAAATTGCTGTAATGTATGGATTTTATAATATGTTAAATTTATGTAATCTATTTTTAAAGGTTCTGGTGGGAATGAAAGGAATGGCTGTCTCCCCACTAGCACGACACGGAGTGGACACTCAGGACATCAGTGAAGGGTTGTGAGTCACATTACCGTGGTTTAAATACCAGATTTGCCAGTTACCTAAGTGGGAGACTGCATACATTAGTCTCTATAGAAATATGTTGCTTATCTCCAAAAGGCACAGAATACTAAATCTCTGCATGGGATAATTGTGAATGTCAAATGAATTTCTGAAAAGCATCCTTGACTAAAATTGCTGGGCAAATTAGTTACAAATAGCTTTCAAGAATAAAAGTCTAGGTAATGTGGCGGGTTGTTTCTTAGGCTGCTAACAACAAGGTCAAAGCTGGGACAGACGCACCTTCTGCTACTGCTTTGGGACCCTCGGGGACAGCCCTCCTCTGGCTCACAGGACCCCTGTGTGTTGAAATAGACTCGATGGCAGTGAGGCTTGGGGCTTGGTTTTCAAAATGGTAAATTGATCATAAGCCACATTTTTGTCTCTCAAATTTATAAGCAATTAAAAAAAATGCTTAAAGGAGGTATGCTCCCTGGTTCATCAAGGAGATAGCACATTGGATAAGAGGAAATTTTGAGCAACTGAAAGCAGATGGATTCTATTAAAAATAAAAATAACACACCAGGATGAGCTGAGCCCTCCATTTAACTCAAAACATGCATGCCATTATGAACAGTGGAAGCTATGGACAGGAGCAAAGGAAGAAGCTGATGGACAAGGCTTTGTTGAAGTGTCTCATTCATTAGGCCCTTACATCTCTACACAGTCATACACCTTCACAAATAGGCAGCAGAAAAGGGGTGTCGAAAGACAGCAATACTCTTTCATAGTGCACTATTCCCAGGTAGCTGGTACTACCAGGTTGGAATTGCTGGGAACAGGGAATCCCCAAGCTCAGAGGGAGCAGCCACAAGAGTACCCAGATGACATGTCCTACATTCCATTGACACTGCAATCACTGATACTGCACAAACAGCGGAAGCTGATTCTTCTCCTCCCTCCAAACGATCACCTAGGCCAGCAGTCCTCAACCTGTGGTCACAACTCTGGGGGTTGAACAACCCTTTCACAGGGGTCGCCTGATTCATAGCAAAATTGCAGTTATGAAGTAGCAACGAAAATAATTTTATGGTTGGGGGTCACCACAACCTGAGGAACTGTGTTAAAGGGTCTCAGCATTAGGGAGGTTGAGAACCACTGACCCAGGCAGAGGCATCTACCGACAATCGCACTATCAGTAATCACCAATTATTTGAAAGGCACCAATGACATAGGCTCACGTGAAAGAAAAGAGAGTTATAATCGTGTTATATAACAAGACTTTTAAAGTCTAATTCGTACCTACATTGAGTTAGGGGATTTTCCATGAAACAGCAATTGTGAAAAACAGCCCAGGAAAGCTTTGGGAAAAGAAAGATAAAAGGCTGAATGACAATGGAGACACAATTAAAGATTCGATTAGTAAGCTGGAGGATTGGGCTAAGGCATTCTCAATTTCCACAATACTAAAGCGTGAGAAATAGAAGTTAAAAAAATGAGATGTATAAACTAGATGAAGACGTTCTGATGTCCATCTACTCGGATTTGCCAGAAAGGGAGGTCGTCGGAGTTAGTGCAGACTCCCCCTTGACATAAAGCTGAGAAATTCCTCCAACGGAAGAAAGCAAACCCTTGTACTGAAAAGGCCCGTCCAGCACTTGCCAGAATAAATTAAAACAAACATTAACAACAAAAACTCTTCATGCTAGTGAACATTCATGACAAGATAGAACATTCCAAAATTTGCCAGCAAGAAAAAAAAAACAATAGAATCTTGCTCACCTTGGATTTCTTACCGGTGACATGCTTGCAAGATGGCAATGTAACAAATAGTTTCAAAGAGATGAAGAAAAAGACAAAAATGCCAGGTATGAAAAGTACAACGGAATTGCCTTTTACATGCTAAACAATGCAACTGCTAGTAAGAGAAACTGCAGTCTCTCTCAGAATGAAATTTCAAAAGCAATGAGAGGCTGATTTGACTAGTACACGGGTTGACTTTGAAGGAGGAAGCATCCTTGCTATTGTCTGGATGCTTTCTGTGGACCCCCGGTAACCGTAGCGAAGTGCCAAAATTAAGCTTTGCAGAATAGGTGTCAGCAGCTTGGAAAAAATAGACCAGAGTTGAGTATTCCAATCTTAAGTGCTGCATCACCAACACACATATGGCACCAGCATGACATTGGTTAGAGTAACACTGACATCAATGTCTGACATGAAAAGTGATTCAGAAGACTGGGGAAATTTAAGGAATACCTTAAATTTTTGATTATCTTTCTTTATGCATAAGAGTGACATATAGTCAATATATACATCTAAATAAATCCATAAGAGCTCTTTTACTATCTATGAGACAGTGAGAAGCAATCAGGAAGCATTACATCATAGTTTCCTTGGGAGCCTTGTTCCTTTCCTAAGGCTGTTGTTATTAGGTCCGGGTGAGTAACTCCTTACTCATGAAGACCCCAAGTATACACAGTAGAACTGTACTCCATAAAGTGTTCAAGATTGTGACCTTTTGGGAGCAAATTACAGGCCTCTGTTTGAAGGCATTTTGGGGTGGGGTCCAACCACCAACCAGTTCAAATGGGCTCAGTCATGACCAGTGGAAACAAGCGCAGTGTATGTGTGGCATAGCACGCCAGATCCTTTGCGTGCTGCAAGGATTTTAACCCTACTCAAAAACAGTCAGTGGTGCCCCACTTCAAGAGAATGACACACATTCAAAGTGATATGGTCAGCTACCGTGGAGCTGGACATTGCTGCTGATTGCTGACCCAAACCATGGTAGAGTAGATTCTGAATCATATCACCTCTACTCATGGAGTCGAATTTCCTTGCAAGGTTTCCAAGGCTGTAATCTTTCTCTGAAAGAGAGGCTGGTGGGCCCCAACGGCAACCTTTCAGTTTGCAGCTGAGCATTTGAATCACTTCACTCCCAGTGCGCCTTGCATATTCCCTGCTTGAGCGAAAGTCCAATGCAAGCGGTATAGTTGCTGTGTTAGGCCAGGTTGACTAGAGAAGTAAATCCAGTGACAACATCTTTATATCAGAATGTAATTATATATATCAAGAAAGCATCCCAGCCCAGTCCAACTCAAGTCCATACGTCCAATACTAGTCCATAAGTCTCTTCAGACTCACACAGTCGGGTGCAATGCTGCAGAGTACAGGAAGATCACAGGCTGGTGGGTGCAGGGTTGTGTGGATCCAACGTTGGTGGAAACAGCAGAGCACAGGCAACTTTCAGGGTGACCACCAGAGTCCCAGCAAGCAGAAGGCAGAGTAGTAGAGAGAGGGCAGGTTCCCAGCGCCCTCCTTAGGAGAAGGTCACATGTCCGTGGAGGCACGGCTTTCTACTCAAGTAAAGAGTTGCAGTCCCAGAAACTCACATTTCTCTCCTGTCCTACAGAGTCACTATGAGTCTGCATCAATTCAATGGCCGTGAGAGAGCGCGAGCGCGCGTGTGTGGTGTTTTCAGTGAAAGTTATCTAGCAAGCTAAGTTCCCATAAATTGTTCAGTGACATTAGCTTATATTTGTCCTAAATTGTCATTCTGTTCACTTGCTTTCTGGTTGTTCTGTTTCCAGTACTCTAGTTTCCTGTTCTCCTTCCTTCATCCCATCTTCTTATCTTTGCATTAGAATACTTGATGAATTGATCAAGCGTGCAGTCAAGATGAATTGATAATGATTGACCACT